ATAATTCCATCCTGTATGATCTTGGCCAGTTCGCCTGTGTGGTGGCACACCGGAGGCCCCGGATCCACCACGTCATGAGCTTCTTTAGTATCCCGAGCTTGAGCATCGGCCTGAACCCTCCTTGTTGTCCTACTGTCGGTGTCGGGGGTTGTTCCGACGTCACATGAGCATCCTTTTGGCTTAGTAATTGGGTCAGCATTGCCACTTACTGACGAAGTTCTTCGAAGGCACCCGCATCAACCACCTGTGGTTGGGCAGCTGGTACTGTAGATGATTCTTCTTGATTAGCTGAAGGCTCCGCAACGGGTGGTGGGTTTGGTTCGGATGAACTTGCTGGAGGAAGCGTGTGTTGACCATGGCTTTTGGTAGCGTTTCCCACAAACGGCGCCAATGATGCTACCAAAAATCGTACATGTCGACTTCCGATCTTGACGATTGAGAATGAGCACGAACGAGATCTTCTTGTACCTGAAACAAAGGTTTCGAGTTGTGTCATCGTCGCCCCTCCAATACTTAAGTCAGAGAGAGAATATGAAAAAAGTATAAATTGTAAATTGTGTTTAAAAACATACACTGGTAATGAATGAGAATGACGTATTTATAAAGGTGGGTAGTGGACTCCTAGTAGGATTATAATGTTGATTTTGTGTTTCCCGGGTGATTGGGTTGGAATGGGACTCTAGAGTGAGAGTCCTCTTGGAATGAGGAAACGTATCTAAGTATCGAAGGAAGGGCTCTATCTCCTAGGTTAGATAAGCTCATGCATGAGAGGGAGTTACAAGAAATCGAACAGGGCTCGAGGAATGTTATTGATCATGCAAGCCCGACGTGACGGAGCCCGATGAGATTAGCCTCTCCTTGAGGCCAAACAAGGAAAGTTGTCCTTGGGATGAGAAAAGTCCTCAGGCTGAGAACAATCCTCGGGATGAGATAATAATGGTATCATCAAATGCCAATTTATCATAAATTAAACAAATTAAAAATGCTCTAAGTTGATTCTTCAATGAAAATTCGCATGCATCATAATCTACCATCACCAATAATATATGATATATTCATGAATTAAAATGTGAAATTATTTATATATCTATATAATAGTGCGATACATACTTTTTTTTTTTTGATATCCAGGTATCCCAGTTTAGCCAGACTAAATCCTGGACCTCTAGCCACCAGCCCCTTAACGACTCGAGGAGGTAAACTGCGGGTTATGCCCTTATTGGCTCCCAGGTTCCTGCACCGCTTATACTCCTGACTCCAAGAGAGCTTTCATCACTGCCTTCCAGTCATTGCGTTGCCTTCGAGAAAATCCACCTTCCAAGACTTGTGCCTTCCAAGAATAGTGCGATACATACTTGGATCCATGGATGGTGTATAGAGAATCTCTGTAAAAATAACCACGATGGACGAGAAAATTATATTTTTTCACCACATTTAATTAAAATATAATTTCCTCAAGAAGCATTATAAAAAGATTAGAAAAGAATTTAGTTTAGATTAGGGTAATCTTGGTTGAAAATGATTGAACATAGCTGATATACCTATGGAAAAGGCAAAAGATATATCATATCTTGTAAAAAATACTCCTATTGTCTGTTTTTATTCCCTTAAAATCCTTATATTATAATTATAACCATATAGATCGAAGTTAAATGGAAGATCTTGACTTGAATAGCTTTCACTTTCCATAAACATCCTCTATAATGATAAATTAAGCCCCTATTTGGTACAAATTAAAATCAAGATTTTAATATAAGTCAAAGTTAACAATTAATTTTAACTATACATTTTGTGGAATCCACAACTTTTCGACCACACGTTTCATCAATTTTTATCAAGATTTACTAAAAATCTAATTTTAATCCCCACCAAACAGGAACAGAGATTAGTATCCAATAATTTTGAGATCGAATACATAAAAACATTTTTCATCTCTGTTTGATTCATTATAATGAAAATTTGTAAATGTAAATTCATGTAATAAGATTTAATGAGGTTTTATGACTGTTATCAAACTACACAACTCACTTTCTTTATCCATAATTAGCAATGACTATGAAAAATATATGCACCATTACCTTTAGCTCTGTTTGGTTTTGTTAAAATTTAGTTTCTTAGTAGGTTTTGATAAAAATTGATAAAACGTATGGATTGAAAAGTTGATAAAATTGTGAATTTCATAAAATATATAATTAAAAATAAATTTAAAAAAGAAAAGAAAAAAAGAATTGGACCAAACATGGGCTTAAAATTGATTTACCTTATCAATTATCACTATGTTTCTTTATTTCTTAATTTCTCTGACTTTAGGTTAATTAAGACCTAATAATATCTGTCATATCAGTAGTCTAAGATTTTTTTAAACTTTATTTAGAAAATTAATGGAGATTTTTTAAATTAATAATGTTCAGAATAATAATAATTGTAGTTCACTAATTAAGTTTCTTTGCTTCAGGGACCAAATAATAATTGTGACCATGTCCTAAGAAACACTTAAAAGAAATATTTTCTGGGATGCATCAGCTTTTTAATATGGGGTTCTCCAATAATTAATTTTAAAATACTTTAATTAAGATTGGTCTATTCAAAACTTGCTTCTTCACCTCTAGTTATAACTTTGTAGACGACGTCGATGCCCCACCCATGTACACCAATTCTTTATCAACAAATAGGGCTGGGCAATCCGAACACCGGAGAAGATCTATAAAATCCCGGCTAGACGGTATTTCTACTAAAAAAATGTAGTGTGCATATTTCTCTTTTCTTCAATTAGGTCACAAGGTATTGGGAAATTGAGGAACCCTATTTCGAGCAAGGTAAAAATGATGCACCCAAAATGAATAGCAAACCATATAGTTCTATTTTCAACAAATACTCTTTCGCGCATCATTAATTGACCTGCAAATCATGTAAGTATCTGAAGATAATGTACATATTCCATATCCTATAAAGTGTAACAAAATTTATAATTAATATGTCTGAAAATTACCACAGTATTGTGCAATTTCTTCCATTAGTGATAGCAGAATATATTCATCCTTGCACCTGCCCACTTCTTTTGACCAAGCAAATAAAATTATGCACCTTCTAGTATATGGACTGTGCTGAGTTATTTATACACTAAGAACTAAAAAAATTTCTTGGAATGAGAATATTGTATCCCTATGCTTTGATATTCTTCACTTTTTTAGGTCTCTGATGAAGGAAGGATGTATAGATTCTACTCAGTCTGTTCAAGAAGTTATATATCTCAGTTACCGTTGCTTCTACTTGTGATCTTGTTTGACTTCAATGCCTAATGTAAAAGTGGATATTCTCATCAATCTACTCCGCTTATATTACTAAAACAAAGTAGTCATGTTATCGATAAATTTGATGTCGGCTACACAAGCCCCTTTTTATCGTTCCCGCACCATTTCACTTCAATTAATGTTCACATGAGTTGTGTTATTGACCTCCAACCTAACAATAGTTCTCAAGTACTTCCTACAAGGGTCAGAAAAGGGCAGTGGACAAAAAAAATACAGAAAGATGAGTTGGCTATATGTACTACTATGCTACTGAAGAATTGGAAAAATATATAATAGAAAAACCATGATGAGATTTTTCTGTTGTCTCTGTGTGCATGAGAATTAAAGAGGCAAAGAGCAATAGGTTGGTAAGGCAATAAAACTAGTGACATATCCCCACAGCTATAATAAAATTATTGGATGCAGTGTCATAGTCATCTTTTATAGTGTACCTCTCATTTATTACCTTTGTCTTTTGTCTTCATTATTCATTCCTTCTCCATCCACTAAAATGTTCTTTGCCCTCTTCCATCCCATTCTATTTTACCTTTTTCTATTGAATCTGCAGGCACACACTTAAACTTTTTCTCCTCCAATTAGGGTTTCCCAATTGAGGACTTGTAGCAATAAATCTGTGCAGTGTGCTGTTTGAAGAAACAAAGAACAGTTTCTTGGAAGAAATCCCACAAGGATAAAAAGGTAGTTTTATGATCTTTTTTCTTCTTCTGATCAATAAAACTAGATCATACAGGTAAATTCTTGAAATCCCTTTATAGCTTTTCTTAGATTTGTACGTTCACTTTGTTTTGGTCATATGTTTGTTTTGAAAAGGTAAATACAAAAATAAATAGCTTTTTGTAAGTTACAGAGCATGATCTAGGGTTTTCTTGCTTGTACATTGATCAACCTTTTGTAATTAGACCCATGTTTAACAAACAAATTATCAGAAATATGCAAGAACTTTATGGAACTGTTGAATATTAACTACAACAAAATTTTCAGTTTCAAAATGATTATTATAAAAAGAAAAGAAAGCTGTGTAATACTCAAATTTTTACTACAGGTTGAGCATACTTGGAGGATTTTGTTTTCTTTCTGTTTGTGGAAAACTCATATATTTAGAATTTCTGATTTGCAGAAGAGACATGCGAAACATTGGTAATCCCTTTGACATTAGTGTAAGGAAACAAACAAAAAGAATAAGAAGGAAAAAAATTCCTGGTCTTGAGAATCAATTCTTGCCCATAACTAAGCAAGCACTGGTGTTTGAACTTGTATAGAGAGAGATACTACAATACTCAAAGAAATTTAGCTTTTAACGAACTTTTGTCTTCAAATTCTTAACGATCCTTGTTTGACGAAACAACTCAAAAATGATTTTTTACAATGAAACCATTTTTGTGTGTTGAAAGTTAAATTTCTTGTAGCGAAGGGAGAGATATGCAGCTGGACTTATTATCTTCCATTCCAATCTGTCTGAGGAATATTTACAACCTGCAAAGTTCTGTTATTACCACCGTGACAGAAACACAGAGTAATTTGTACTGAAACAGGAAGAAGAATATTTAATGGATTTTAATGCAATCTAAATGAGTTAAGTCAAAGAAAAATGGGTTTACTTTTTATTTCTTGATGATGCAGTGAAAAATGGCTTCATCCAGTTCATACAACTCTCCCTGTGCAGCCTGCAAATTCTTGAGGAGAAAATGCATGCCAGGTTGCATTTTTGCACCATACTTCCCACCAGAGGAGCCACAAAAATTTGCAAATGTTCACAAGATTTTCGGTGCGAGCAACGTTACCAAGCTCCTCAATGAGCTTCTCCCTCAGCAGAGGGAAGATGCAGTGAACTCTCTGGCCTATGAAGCCGAAGCCCGAGTCCGGGATCCAGTCTACGGCTGCGTTGGTGCCATCACCTTCCTCCAAAGACAAGTCGAGCGCCTTCAAAAGGAACTTGATGCAGCTAATGCAGACTTAATTCGCTTCTCGTGCAATGAGATTCCGACTGGAATACCCTCCACTCGAGGAGTAATTAATTCATTTCATTCCATGGCGGCACCCCGCCAGAGGCCTGCAAGGATGGGCAATGAAAGTGGTGGCAACTATTATCCAACACCCCAAAACTTCCAATTTCCATATCTTCCTCCATGGAATGGTCACAACCCTTCTGGTAATATACATGGAGGAGGGGCAGATGGAAATATTTAAGGGTACATCATCTATAAATCTAGGGTTTATGTCCCTCCCCTAGATGAATTATATGCATTTTTATCTTGAATCTGTCAAGGTCTCTAGCTAGCCTCACATGCATTCTTCTAGCTAGACTGAGTCCTATTATCCTCAAAAGAACATTATTTGGGTGGTATTTAATAATTAGACAAAGATTATGAGTCTTGTTTAATTAGTTTACAAGTAGTACACCTGTTAAGAATGTTCATTTGAAGAGTCTTATGTATTCTGTGGGATTGTTCATCATTAAGAATAAATTTGTGTGAAGTTATTATTAACTGTTAAGGAAAAAAAGTGATCATATAGTAAAATTAATTAAGTCTACTGTTATTCCGTCACTGAGCTACACTTATTCTTAATTCCTAGATTAGTCTGTTTTGTTCTTGAGGACCACTTTCTTTATTTTTGGTGTGGCTAATTTCTAATTCTATAGCCTTTGGTTTCTGAAAAGGGCCTTGTTAAAATATTCATCTGTTGGTACACTTGGACGTTTCTCAAAGTGACGCTAACATGGACTAAAACAACTGTGAAAAACTGATTCTTAATAAAATTGATCTTTCTTAATTTGTCTAATATGTCAAGTTGATGATAAGAAATACCGTTAAGAGGAGTCATTATCATAAGGGTTTTTTCTTGTAAAATTCAAAAGATCAGAAAATAAGTAGATTTTAAGCTTAAATGTCTGCTTGAAGTCAAATTTCTTTTCAAAATGTCGACGCATACTTAAGGTTGATGAACGTACCGATTAGGTCGGCACTTACAGTTCATCTATATATGTGTATGTCAAATTTGAATCTTGCCCTCTTTAGTACTGTGTATAAACCGACACTTGAGAACAGTGAGAAATAGTTCTATCTTACATTGGATGCAGACATTAATAAAGATGTTGGGCTTCCTTGTAGAGCATTTCAGCTTTTTAATACCAGCACTGCTAAGAAAAACAGTAGAACCACCAACCCACCCACCCCAAACTCCTACAACATGTTATTTTGGAAAATAAACCTGCAGTTTATTAGGTTTAGGGTTTGAATCTTGTGTACAATAGAGAGATTTGTATGATTCATTCTGTGTCCCAGAATCCACACGGGTGCTCATATCAATCAGTAAAAAGCGTCTACAATGAAACATTAGCCTCTGCCATTTCTGTTTCGTGCAAAAATGTATGTCAGTCTCTCTGCAGTTCCATCTATATCATATCCTACTATCATGGGTTTTCCTCGAGATCGCCAAGAATCGCCTTTGATTCATCATTTGATGGGATTCTGATTTTTTAATGGATGAAAATCTGAATCTGATCAAGAAAATTTGGAGCATTCATTTGTACACAAAGCAAAAAATATGCATCCATCATTAATTAGCTTTTCAACAGTAGAGGGCTTGAAAAAAGTGATCAAAAGCTGATAATAGTGCACATGCATGGTAGACCCAATGACCGAAATTTCGCTAGAATCTCGCTATATGTAGGTTTTGGTTTACATCCTAACTTATCGAATTCACACTTGACTCGATCTCACACCATCTTTTACATCTCACACATTTAATCCAATTATTACAATCTTGACATGTCACCCATATGTCAACAAGGGTGTCAAAGTTAATATATAAATAGCTTAATTGATATTGCTAAGCTGGGAAGCTTACGTCTGTTTAAAATAAACTTTTTTCACAGCATTAAATGTTGTGTTTGGAGAGAAGATCAAAAGATGAAAAGAAGTTACTTCTTCCCGGCTATTAAGGGCTTGTTAGATAGTGCTTTGTTTTTGCTTTTCGCAGAAAAGCATCTCAAAAAAGTTACTTCAAATCAACTTCTAGAAGCTCTTTAACCATATAAAGCACTTTCAAAAAATTATGCGAACGATTTCAGCTTTCGATTTTCCAAAAACCATGCCAAACTGGTCCAAAGTAAAGCAAATAGTGCGCTTAGCATGCAAAGAAATCAGCCCTTTATTGTTGAGCTAAATGCTAAAACATTGCAATTAAAGATGGATTACTTTGTCGCTAGAATTAAAACTTCATTGCTACAGAGTGTCGAAGGCTCCAATTCTGAACTAAAATTCAGAAATTGTTCGTTGCAAAATTTGTTGCGAGAAGAAACTAAAGGCTCCAATTATGAAGTAACGTGCGTGAAGGGACCTTTTGAAATGATGTTGTAGTATTGACTTTTCTAAATTGGTGTAACGAGTGGTTGAAGTCCCGAAATAATTAAAATGAATAGTTAAATGGGACAACAAATCAACTACTCCCGAAATAATTAAAATGAATAGTTAAATGGGACAACAAATCTCAAATCATTCAAAACATGCGTGTAGACACAAAGACAGACTTGAAAATCTCAATGTGAACATTAGCCATGTTTGATAGCCAAAATCTTGGGACAACAAATCTCAAATCATTCGAAACATGCGTGTAGACACAAAGACAGACTTGAAAATCTCAATGTGAACATTAGCCATGTTTGATAGCCAAAATTTTTCATGGAAAATGTTTTCCTCCCACCCGCCACGTGTCCCCTTTTCCATGGTTTTGTGGAATTGAGGTTTCCAGCTTTCTCTTCTTTTTTTTAAAAAAAAAAAAAAAAAAATTTGCAATGAAAACAAATTTTATGGACAATTGTAAAAAAAAAAAATTTAATGAAAAATTTTCATCAAAAATCAAGCCAAGCGAACATCAAAAGATCCAAAATTTCAATATTTTTCGGTGGAAAATTATACCAATCAAATATAATTAATTGACAATTTTCAAGAAAACAATTCTAGACAATTCAATTCCCTAAAATTCATTTTATTTCCACCCAAATTTCACTCTTATCATCAAATGGACCCTTAGTTTTTCAACTTCTATTTGCTTTTCTATCTACTTGAAAATTTACCGAGTGACATAATTACAAATAGTTTAGGGCAGATAATAGAGCCCAATTCTATGTACTTTAAAGTTTTCAGGCTATGACCATGAGGTAACAAATTACAGTGCAATCTCATGCATATAAGTATGAGTAGTACGATAAATAAAATTTTAGCTTAGTGCTTGTTTGGTAGGGATGTTTTGGGGAAGAATTAATTTTTGAATAGTGATATGATGAGAAATATGTGGTTGAAAAAGAAGAAAAAATTATTGATGTGATAAAAAATATTATTTTATTGNAAGAAAAAATTATTGATGTGATGAAAAATATTATTTTATTGAAAAATTTGTGGTTGAAAATGAGAAGTGATTTACTGTAGAATATGAGAATAAAAAACAGACAGGCCCTTAGTGTCTACTCGAATACTATTCGATGAGAGTGGTATGGCAGAGCTGGGGCCGGGTCGGGTAGGGTAGGAGAGGGGTTTAATGAATTTTTGTTGGATTATTACTGAACAATAATGCAAAATCAGAATCCATGAAACACATCAATCTTCTTCTCTGCAAAACGTGGAAAAGAAGCAAAGAACAGGGGGAAAATTTATGAGGTGGCCCCTTTAATTCCCCCCACCATAAATTCTTATGTTCCTTTTTGAATTTTGGATATATCTAGGATTTGTTTTCTTTAGGTTTGGATGTTTTTCAACATCAACTCTCTCTCTCTCTCTCTCTCTCACAAAAATAAAAAATTAAAGAACAAGTCTATACGCATAACGAGTTAAACAAAGTGCAGAAAAGCAAGAATTCTAATCCAAATACTAGTGCTGATGGTTAGAAAATAGTGAAATTTTGTTTGAGTTTTCAAACTTTTCGACGAATTCCTATTTTTTGAAAAGGAAATGCTAGCACTGTAGAAGTTTTCGGCATCCCAGGCTAAAAGCTTATGCGATGAAATTACGGAAATAAAGGGCAAGCATTGAAGACCATAATTAATTGAAGGACTCAAAAACTTTTGCCCTAATTATTCTTGTTAATTTTGTTTGGTTTAAATGTAAACAGAATCAAATGGCGATAGAGGAGGTTCCTTTTTCTTGATTGATTCTTTTGTCCCATTTTTTTTCTTAAGAATGCATTTTAAAATAATATATTGATTGAGAATGTATTGTTGAAAAATAAGGAAAAGTTCGTGTAATGTTATTTTATTGAAAAATGTGTAGTTTCAAAGAAAATAGAAAAAAATATATTTTAAAAATAATATGAATCAAACAAGAGCTTATTATTTTTCAGAAACACGGACCTACAAGCTTGAATTGTTACACAGAAAAATGTACGATGTAAGAAATAATACAAGAAACTTGTCATACTTTTTATGTGCGTTTTCTGACTAATTTTCTAATTGTGGACAACGTTGTTGCTTCAAACCCTCATTCAATGGACTGTTTCCAATTTTTGTATTGAAATCGTAAACAAGGTAAAAATACCTTTTAATCACGGTAGCTATACTCGAGCAAGCATTTCAACTCACTCGCCTCTTTAATGAGCAAACAATCCAACCTTTGAAACCTATTACAATTCAGTTGCAGAAAGTCAAATTCTCGTATCAATTGATTCAAAGTGTGACCTCTATCCCATATAAGTAATTGGAGTTGAACGCATCGCAAAATGATCATTTTACGCTTCCAGTTATAAATCTGTCTTTAAACCTACGATGTATTGAATTACTCAGCATAGATCAAATATACGTTTTCTAATTTATCTACCACAATTTTCAAATACTAACATATTAAATTAATCTCACTCATTAACGTTTCACGAATGCCGAATATTGGTAACTCTTAATGTGTAAGCATTCAAGAATCGAGTAGTACAACTCAAGAGTGTAACACACGTTGGCTTTGTTGTAATAAAGGGATGATTAACTCAACATGATTGCTAGCATGATAAAAAGAAAAAGATAGACAGGTTAAAAATTTATATACCCCCTAAAGTGTCTCAAATATATTCAACGCCGTCATAGCAAATGATGACACCAAATCTTACTTGATTTGCGAATAATCAAAAGCCATGAAATTTTATTATCTTTCATTTTTCATATACAAAAGAAGTTTCATATATACTGCAAAAATAGGGTCCAAATT